CACCATCCCTCCCTCACTGCTGCACGTCTTCCTCAGGTAGCTACATCTCTGTGCTCTGTTAAGAGTCTCAGCCTACCTTGCTGGGGTCTATTTGCTTTCCCAGCTCCTTCCTTTCACCCCCCGCCACATTCACTGGAGGGACCCTCAAGACATTTCTGCTTCCCTCCTTTCCTGTGTCAGTCCCCAGCCCAACTGCAGCCTCTATGCAGTACTATCCTATATTGTCCACTTCTCCTCCAGCTTGTCTCTCCACAGACCTGTCCAGCTCAAAGAGGCAGTGGGGATGGAGAAAAGTACTGGGAGCCTTCAGCTAATTAGTCAAGGTCAGGTTCAATACCTGAGATGCTCCCCAGTGCTGGGTCACTTATGGCCCAGTGTCCTGCTGGCAGCAGGTGAGTACCAGGGGGTCCAGCACTTTTCACAGGCCACCCTTTTTAGTAAGGGCAAAGCAGGCCCTATTCGATTCAGATTCGGATTCAGCCCTAATCAGGGACAGTGATCCCATTCGTTGACTTGGATCACTGTCCCTGGTTTGATTCGCCCAGATCTGAATCTGCAGATTCAATGCTGATTTGGAGAATCAGTGATTCAGACATAGACACAGCTTTAAAATTTTTTTCTACATACTTTGAGGTAGCAGGCGCGGCTCATGATCACTGTGATGCTGGGGCACATGAAGCGTCTCACAGGAGTGTGGGGGTGGGGAGGGGGGCCCTCCATGTGCTCAGTGGTGAACCTGGAAGTGGACTAGAAGTATTTCTGGTCCACTTCTGGGTCTGCTGGAGAATGCACTGCCCTCCCCTCCCCCCCTCCCCCGCTCGAGGATTGGCTGCAGGGGGACCCCGGGTGTCCCCAGCAGACCCAGGAGGCACCAGTCACCAAGCTGGGGGGGTGCGGAGGGGCCCCCCAGCACACTCCCCAGCGGACCCGGAAGTAGACCAGAAGTGCTTGTGGTCCACTTCCAGGTCTGCTGCCGAGCACTCTGGGGAGCCCCCCGCGCTTCTGTGGGACGCTCCATGCGCCCCAGCATCGCAGCACTCACGAGCCCTTGTTACATAGAGGTGTGCAGAGAAAACATATAGAGTTGTCTCTTACGTCTGAATCTCTGAATCTTTCTGAATCTCTCTGAATTGATCTGGAGGGTTCTGATTCGATTCAGAGAGATTAAAGGGTCCTCTGATTTGATTCAGGTTCGGAGATTTGGCCACTGAATCGGGCTGAATCTCTGTCAAATTGAATCAGGGACTGAAGCTTCGCACAGCTCTACTTTTTAGCCGTGGTACCTAAGGACAGCCTCCTGTCATGAAGGCACAGCAGTGGGGGTTGAGAGCCCCTGTTTTTGTTCCCATCTCTGCCAGGGCTTCATATATGATGGGGGCAGATCATTTGCTTTTGGGTTCTCTAGTTTTTAGGGCCTAATTGGGGGCTAGCTGGATGCAACCGGGGACCCACAACTCCAGCAGAAACCAAAGTAAGTTTCTGGTGCTAAGCCTCTCTTGAAAACCAGGGCGCAAACTCCTTTAGTTTTGCACCCAGGATCAGAGGCTGCTTTTGAAAATGGGCCTGATCCTGCGTTTCTATTGGGGTGAATAAGAAGTAATTAAGGAAGCTTATGGGAAGGCTGTACCAGACCTGGGGTCAGGGTCTGACCCATTATCTTCCTGTCTTGGTTTCCACATCAGGTTGACCCCTCCTGTGGTGGCTGTGAGACTATGTTCATTAACTCTTGGGAGATCAGCTGAGCCTGCTAGTGACAAAGAAACAATTACTTCTCATTTTGAGAGCACCGGTGTTGAGGTGTTGTGTGTGGGGTACTGGGCAAAGCAGTGGGAGGTCTGTGTTCTAGTCCTGCCTCTGCCTGGGGTGGGCAAGTCATCTCCCACTCTGGGGCTTTGTTCTTCTGGCCCCTCCGCCCCACCCCAGCAGTCTTTGCGGTATATGTTTAGATCAGTGGGGTCCAAACTTTTTGTCAGAGGTGCCACAAATTAGCTCTGCGCCCCCAAGCACCACTCTACAAAAACAACACTGCCCTATCTGTCACTGTGCTGCCTCTCCCCTCCCTAGTTGGCAACATGCCATGTAAAGGCTGTCTGGGCCACTTGTGACACATGTGCTACAGGTTGGCCACCCCTAGTTTAGATGGGCAGGGTTTCTCTCCTACTGGGTCCATGTGCAGCGCCCGGCACTGTGAAGCCCTGGTCTTGACTGCTGTGGTTGGCAGAGGCCCAGACTCTAAGATAACAAAAGTCCACCCTGGTCTGTTGCATAAAAATGTTTATAAAAGTCAGCAAAAGTTAAAGATAGGCACCGGAATGAGTCCAAAGAAACACTGATATAAAGGACTGGGCTGAGATTTTGTGTGATAAACAAAAGAAGCATGGGACCAGAAAGCAATGGACTAAAACTGTTGTGTTGGAAATAAGTCCTAATTGGTGGAGAAAATAATGAAACAATGGGCAACTCATCCCATTTACCCTTTCCTGGGTTCCTAATTTGACACTTTTGTCTGGGGCAGCCAGACTGGGAGGAATGAACTTTTACCGCAGAAGCTGCCACTATATCAGTTCCTCAGACCATGGGGTTTCCATGGTGCCACTGAGTATTTCCTGGGGTGCTACCCATCACTCTGATCCTGAAGGATCTCCTGAGCAGACTGAACCAGAAAAAGAAGAACAATGATATCCATCCCCCTCTCCCCACCTTTAACTTTGGCTAAATCCTAAACCCATCTGGAACATGAGACTTGAGATCCTGCTGTCTCCCCTTCCCTCAGGAGTCACTTTTGCATCCCATCGTATTTCTTTATCTTTCTTTCTTTCTTTTTTTGCTGTGTTTTTAATGAGTCTGCCTTAACTGGCCAAGTTGATTTTTTTTCAAAACTGCTGTGAGAACCTGACCAAAATACAGCTAAAAACATTGATGTTAACAGCCCAAAGCTGGTTCAAGCTTGCCAGATTTCAAAGTGGCTGATCAGAGGAGACTCAGTACCAGAGGCAGATGATGTATTTGATGTGGTTTTATAGAATCATAGATAAAGGGGGCTGGAAGGGACCTCAGGAAGTTACCTAGTTAAAATCCCTACTGAGGGCAGGATCATCCCTGTCTAAACCATCCCAGATAAATGTTTGTTTGACTTACACTTAAAACATCCAGCGACAGAGATTCCACAGCCTCTCTAGGTAGTCTGTTCCAATGCTTAATCACCCACAAAGTTAAAGTTCTTCCTAATAGCTAACCTAAATCTTCCTTGTTGCAATTTCAGCCCATTACTTTTTGTCCCATCTCCTTTGCACACTCAAAACAGTGTGTCAACATCCTCTCTGAAATAGCCTCTTTTGTATTTGAAGACAGTAGTCCAACCCCACACACCCAGTCTTCTACAGATTAAATAATCCCAATTCTTTCAAATTTTTCTTGTGTCATTTTTTGCTCGGTCTCTCATCATTGTTGTTATTCTCCTTTTTTTTGCACTTCTCTTTCATAATTCATCTTGCAATTGCTATAACCCTTAAGTCCATTTCTGCAGTACTGCAGTACCCATCGTTCTGCTAAATCCAGGATTTTGCACTTGTCCAGACTGAATTTCATCTGATTTTTCCAATGTATCCAAGCTGTTTTGAATCCTAATCTTGTCTTCCACCCTACCTGATCTTCTTTTGTGGGCATTTTGTCTTCAAGGAAGTTGAATCAGAACCAAACTCCAGGGACAAGAACAGCTCCAGCCCATCTTGACTAACTGAATCTATTTTTCTCAAAAAGGAGAATTATTGCCTTGTTTAGCAGCAACCTAAGGACTGTCAAACAGGGAGGAGACAGCAGTTCTCCTTATAATGATACTTTACAGCTAAAGGGAAGGGAATGATGGCTATTATTACAATGAAAGCCTCATTTAATACCTTGCATGCCAAGCCTTTAGCCCTTTTCCCTTCTTTTCTTGCATCTTTAATAAGAGGTTGGAATTTTTTTATCATGGTGGCTGTTGCCATGACACTGAGCAGACTGCAGTCTCTGAACTCAAATCCTGAGCCTTGTTTAGCTGTTCAGTGTTTTGCAGGGACAGGGTCACTTTAATACCTTTGAATCTCTGGGCTCATTCATTCCATTGAAATTATCACAACAGCGTCTCTAAGCACTGCTGAAGTACAAAGGCTCATGATGTGCGGGGAATTCCTTCCCATGGCTGCTAGGCACAGTGCTCAGGACAGCCTGTGTATTAACATCACTGTGGGACTTGGGGTCCAGCAGAGTGGCAGAGGCAGCCTCCGTGGGAGCAGGCTGTGGTGGAGTGAGAGCTCTTGCTCCCAAGGACAGTGTTGAATCCCCCACTGTGGGTGGTGCACTTATAGATTGCAGGTCACTTGCTGTCCTGTGATACATCCCCAAGGAATCTGTACAATCACAGCATTATTTTAAGAGATTCCTCCCTCCCTACTTTTGGGTCTCATTTGCATGTAGACAACCTGCAAAGCCACTCCTTGCACCTAGCAGGCTTTCTTTCCCAGTTACCCTCCTGCCTCACTCCCCCATACAGCGACTTGGCTTCCTGCCATGTACCACTTTCATGATGGTATATGTTACATCACCAGCATGTTTAATTCATAGGGCAGAACAAGAGAAGTGGTGAGATTCCCTGCAAAGAAATAAACCCTTTATGTTTCTCATCTCCAGGATCCTTCCAGGTGCTAGGAGTCAGAGACCTTGGAGCCTTAGGCCCTCAGAGCATCTCTTTTACAATTAACCCCATTGCTTGTAGTTGCCTTGCTGCTAATCGTAACAGAGTAGGAGGGGAGCAAGTGTATGTGTGTGTATGTGTATGTGGGGGAGTGCATTTGGAGTAAGCGAAGTGTGTGTCTCAGTAGCTGAGAACTGCACAGTCTAAGGCCATCTGAGAGTCTCATTCATTAAGCCGCCCCTTTGGAATGTTTCACTGCCCAATCAGCATGGCCCCTTTACAGTTCCGTGTGAATAATAATAATCCTTCAATGATTAGCAGGGCTCATGTGGTGTTGAGCTCGGTCCCAGGGGGAGCAGGGGGCGGAGGATTGTAAGGATTCCACAGGAGCTGTCTCTTTTTTCATGCCAGCAAGCTGTTGGCAGAAGACTGTTTTGACAGAGCTATTACTCACCAGTCCCCCTTTTGTTAAGCTGCCCGGCAGTGCTTGTCTGAAGGTTTGAATAGGATCACAACTCGGAAACATCCAGCAAGAGAGACACGTACCTACACACAGACGTGCACACACATGTGTGCATCGCAGAGCCAGGGCTGTACGAGACAGGGATAGCTGCGTAGCTCAACACCTCTGATTCAGCTGGATTGGTCTTTTGCACAGAATTTAAGCTTAGAAGATTGAACACAGAACCACCTTCATGAAGGTTAAACAGATGCTGGCATGTCAGCTCCTGGCACTGGCTTTCAGCTGTCTTGGCTCAAGTTTGGGGGAGATCAGGATACACCAACAACATGAGAAGCTGTCCCCCATGGCTCCGTTGCACCGAGGTAATTGGCAAATTCCACAGGGGTAATCAATGGAAGTGTTGTGGAGATTATCCAGCACCAGCAAAGCTGGGTGCCAGGGGCGCTTGGCTCTGACTGTCTCTGACCTGGGAGGAGGGGAGCCCATGTTTACTAATCCTTGGAGCCAGTGCTGACCTCAGGAAACCCCAATAGTCTGCACTCACAGCCTCTGTGCAAGTCAATGGGAATATTCAGTATCTTGCAGGATCAGACCCTATTTATCCAGACCAAGGCTGGGTCAAATTGTCAGCAGGTGTAAATTGGTGCAGCTCCAGTGAGCTTAACTTGTGGAATGTGACAACAGTGGTGGGAGGAAAGGGCTGGGAGCTGCTGAACAAGGGAAGCAGACCACTGTAACATCTTTAACTAACAGTAATGCAAACCACAGGCAAACAGGCTATGGAGGAGGTCCATGCCCGCTCTGGAGGCATTACTGGCTACATGGCAGCAGACAGGGTTTATCTGGCATGGGGTGATTAGGGAGGACAGGGGGTTCCCTGCCTGTCTGTTCCCCAAGAGAGATTATAAAGTATCATTTACTCCAGGATTGTTTTTTGCAACTGTTTTGCTGCCTGTGTCCTAGCCAGCTGTCTTGGGGACTTGCTTTTTTTACCCATCATGTGCTAGGAGGAAGGCCATGCCAGGAACTTGCGGCAGCTACAAGCCAAGGATGAAGATGTTGTCCTACAAGGGCCCTGCAGTGTGCCTGAAACGGGGGTGGGAACTCAGGAACCTGCCTTTGCCATCATCATGCCCTCATGTACTTTGTGTGTGATCATCACAGTGGACAGCAAACACATGAGAAGGCAGAGGCATAAGAGCCAGGTTCTCTGCCCTACGTGGCAGTGGCAGCCTGGGTCATGGCAGGGGCTGTTCTTGCTTCTTGCTTCCTCTTTAAGTGGGTGCCCGGAGCTAGAGCCCCAATCCTGCCCCTCTTTAAGCTATTGCAAGAATGGACAGGGACTCTGAGATGGTTCACCTTGATTTTTTTACCATAGCTTGTTGCTCTCCTGAAAACCCCCATCACCTTGTCTGTCTGGCTGTGGGGCCTCAGTGTGTCACCATCAGTTTGCCACTGAGACCAGAGGGCTGTAGCCCAGTGGGGTCCCTGGGGTCTAATCTTGTTTGTGCCTGAGCCAGTGGCTCAGCCAGTGCGGAGCTGGTGTTTGCAGCCCCTGCCTCTTTGTATTCCACTTCCAAAGACAGGCTTTCTTTCCCTGCTGTCACCATGGTGACAGGTCTCCTTTCCCTGCTGGCCCAGTTCCTTACAGTGAGTGTCTGGTGTTGCTTGGCTTGAGATCTGTGACCTGCTAGCAGAGACGGGCTGGGCAGAAGCAATCCCACCCAGCCCTCAGCTCAGCCATGCGCTGTAGGGCTGGGAAGAGAGGGGGGACTTGGGGTATGGTCCAGCTCCTATTCCCTGACTTCCTGTTTTTATTCCCTCTCCCCAGCTCTAGGTCTGAAGGAAAGTTTCCTGTTGCTTTCCCTGCACAACAAACTGCGCAGTAGAGTCCACCCACCTGCGGCCAACATGCAGAGGATGGTGAGTGACCTGCTTTTTCCCCTGTCTCACCTCCAGGACCTGTTGCTGGGCCAGCTCAGAGGCTCTTAGCCATGGGGTGTGGAATGCATCAGGTCTTGGCCCAGCCACAGGCTGGAGATGCTCTCATGATAAAGGTGGCACTCCTGAACTGGGGGTGGGATGTGATGCCATTTCAGGGGATACTGCTGGAGAACAGAGCAGCTGCACAGTGGATCTAGGATACCAGGTGACAGCCCAGATCTGGTGTATCCTGGACCCAGAGTTTGTAGCTCCCAGACCAGTGACAGGGAGAGGAAGGTGGAGGGAAGGGAGATGGGTGCAGCCTGCCAGCTCCTCCATGTGTAATGCATGGGCACATGAAAACAGTCTTGTCAAAGTCAGCAAAGAGGAATCAGCCTCCAGGTTTCCCTAGGAGCATGATCAAGCCCACAGTTGCTGGGCAGGAGAAAAAAACAAGGACTATCAGGAAATGAGAGGGTGTTTGCACAGTACTATCTCCCTCTGTCGGCTCCTGCTGACTTCATTTAATACTCTTAGGCTGTGAACTGCCCCTTGGTGCCCTTGCTCAGTAGTACCCTCTGGAGTTCAGCCAGAGAACAACAACATAAATGGATCATTCCCATTCAGCTCTGTGGGGTTGTTTAGGAAATTAAATTAGCATATAACTACCAACAGTAATAATCATCCCAATGCAGGCTGTCACCTCAGTAACAGCCAACCAATGTTCTTGTCCTGGGCACCTTGAAGCAGTCCTGTTGACCTGTCGATCAGCCGCACACTGCAGGTGCTTTGCTGCTAACCATCGCAGCATAGCATACATCAAAGTGGCCCCTGGCAGCATGAGGCCCCATATTGTCATCAGCACAGTGACTCCAGAACAAACAGGCTCAGGGAGCAGTTCAGGTGGTTTTAATTTCCAGCTGGTGGCTCTGCAGCCACAGCCCAGGCCCCAGAGTTCACCTGGCTGCAGTCCTCTTCACCCATCAGCAACTATGAAGATTCAGCAAATATAAGTTAATTAACAATTCTGTAAACCAGAAACAGACTCTAGGTTCCTCCTCTTGGCTGGGCTGACTCCCCCAAGCTCACAGGAATTAGAAGCATCAAGCACATATGTTGGTCTTGCAAGCCAGCAACCACCAAGGGAACCTGACTAGATGAGTACAAAAGGAGCAGTTTCAGTCATTTCTCTGAGCAAAACCACTCTCATTTAACTAGGGGTTATCAGGTTGGTTTGAAGCTAAAGGCAGAATGTATCCCCTGCAGACAGTCTCTCTTCCTCAAAGACATGGGGCCTGGGAATCTCCAGGGCTCACTCCTCCCTCCCTGGCCCTTGTGGAGGGTTTGGTGTGTGCTGGGGTTCACGCAGGGGAAGGAAGGCACTGAGATTGCCTGGAGAGTGCACACTGTCCTTTGCATAGTGCCATAGCACTAACACGAAAAATGCAATACAACCTCAAACTATGCAATTCTGGTATCTTCCTTTGTGCTCCCAAACCTTGCCCCCCAAAATTCGTATAGCCAGAGACAGCCACTGTTAGAGGAGCCAGGATGCTGTGTGATAGCCTCATGTTTGCCATGAGTCCTGAGCAAAGCTATTGAGTTTGGGCTGACTTTTCCTCATGGGGCTGCCTTCCCCTCAGCCAACAGGATAATTTGGGTGAGTATCTGCTTTCAGAGCTCCACCTTGCAATGGCTTTTAATGGGGAGGGAGTGATTTAGCTAGGGTGGGCAGGACTCCTGCATTAATTCTAGGCACTGGAAACAGGGTAACTGTTGGTTTCTTGGAGGACTCAGTGCAGAGTTGGCTGCATCCCAGGGAAGGGTGACAGGCTTCCTGGATCTGGACTGATTACTTAGTCTGCCAAGTGCTTCAGGCTCTATGGAACGAAGATGCTCCACAAATGGCACTGCTAATTAGGAAATGTGTTGCTGTGGGCATGGGGCCGCTGGGGCATGGGACCATGATGACTGATCTAGACATGGATCCTATGTGCCATACCAAGCCCTCTTTGAAGATCCAGGTCCCAGGATTTCTCTTTTTCCAGCCAGACAACTTCCAATGGCCACATAGGTCTGTAAAGTTACTTGACTGTGCTTGGAGTAGAGGCATGCATGGGCCAGCTGTTGAGGGCAAATACTTCAGGTCAGCCACAGCACGTGGCTTTCTTTGGTGCCACGATTCAGATATATAGAAGAGCCAGATGTTAAGGCCATATTTTCACAAGGGCTCAGTTCCCATTTAAGTGCCTCAAAAGGGCTGGATTTTCAAGTGCTCTGTACCCAGCATGTTTCCCACTTGCCAAGCAGTTTTAAAAAGTTGGCCCCTATCTATGGTTGTAAGCGTTCTGACAAACCCTGCACAGCCCAGTGCATTTAACAGTCACCCAACAGAAAAACTTTAAGCTTAAACTAAAGCCAAGCCCATTTCCAAAGTTCAGGGACAATTTCACTTGAGCCCAGCTGTAATTTAAGGGCAGTTTGGTCCTGTTCACACAGCTGACTGAACCATCTCTGACCTGAACTCATTTAGGCTGGTTTTAAATAATATGACAAGCTGTTCTGCAAAGACATTGTGGAAACCAAGGCACAAGGGTACCTAAGGTTTCAGTACATTGCACCATGCTCCGCCTGGTCCCTTGGCTTTGCTGTGAGTTTCCACCCACCTCTGCCAGCTGGATGTAAATTGTGCTGTGACAGGTAGGCCCAGCTGCAAGCAACCAAAAGCTATGCTTTCAGAAGTTTGGGGGGTGGAGGAGGGATGACACCAGCCTAGGTTCCAATCGCAGTAGCTGCCCTTGGAGCTGAAAAGAAACATCCTACCAGCCTGGCAACCCCAGCTTCAGAATGTGATTGGCAAACTGCTGGACAAGGGCCTTGGCCCACTTCTTCTCAGTTCTGAGAAGGTGCAGACATCAGAAATAGGAGGCATTATCACTGTTATTGCTCACTTTTCAAGTGGTGTTTGGAAAGACGGGGCTAGGTTGAGCTGGAATCTGTGGGGAAGGGATTCCCAATAGGAAAGGATAAAATAGACAAACTTGGCTCTATGAACCTGGGAGTCTCCTTGCTGGGCAGGAGGAACTGATGGTGGGGACAGAGCCTGGCATATGGTGAACTGAGGCAGACTGTTTGGGACGGGTTCGACCTGAGGGATGGGTGTAGCCTGTTCTAGCAATATGGCCTGAACTGGCCCCTGGACATTGTGGGGATTGGCTCTGAGGTTTGACTGTGGCCTAGCTCTCTCTCTCTCAAGCCCCTCTGTAAAATGAGGCTTCTGGGCCCCTAACCAGAAAGGCCAAGCCCCTTCCCTCTTGCCTCCAGTGGGCATGACTTCATCCTCGGTGATGCTGTTGACCCCATGGCAGGTGAAGGGCAGTCCTGGGCCCTGAGCCTGCCAGGGCAAGAAAGGGAAGGGAAGGGAATCATGCAGTCTGGCAGGCACTGGTTCTTTGGCTGGGGGAGGCAGAGCAAAGTAGGGATTCCCATTCTTCCTGGTGTTATGTTGGGAGCCCCAAGAAACGTCTGCTGACCAAGGGAAAATAGCTTCCTTTTGCCTTCCTTCTCAGACTGGCTACAAGGGCTGTGCAAAATTTCATCGGGTGTTTAATTTTGAAGCTGTTTCAATGCGTTTTGAGCTCAAAACAGCAAAATTGAAATGAAACAAAAGCCTTCAAAACAGCTTTGAAATGAAACAAGGGCACTCAAAACGTTTCAAAAGTTTCGAAATGTTTCGAGTTTCGAAGCCAGGCTTACTTGGCTTCAGCGCCCGTTCCACCCAGCGGCAGCAGCCTCCTGTCATCCAGCGCAGCCGTTCTGGGACTGCAGGCCCCTGGATCTGCGCACTGGATGATATCATGCTATCACTGCTGGCTGAGGCCAGCAGCAGCACCAATTTTTCCGGCGCTTTGCATGGGCTGTGCCCAGTGCTGGTCCCAGCTGGCAGCAGCAGACCTTTGGTCATCCGGCAGGCAGATTGGGGGCCCTCCCGCACCCCTGGGAGGGCTGCGGGGCTGTGCCAGACTCCTCCTGGGGGTGGGGGCCCCTGATCTGCCTGCCAGATGATAGGAGGCTGCTGCTACTGGTGTTGGGTGCAGGCTGCGTCCAGCACTGGTCCCAGCCAGCAGCAGCAGCCTCATGTCATCCGGCAGGCAGATCGGGGGCCCGCCTGCACCCGCGGGAGGGCTGTGGGGGCTGTGCTGGACTCCTCCCGGGGGTGCAGGCCCCCGATCCAGTATGGCTCTGGGTCTTTATTTTGTCAGTGTCCAGTAGGACCCAATTTTTTGACCAGTGCAGCCCGTTGAGTGCTGAGCAATTGAGAACTGGACCCCTCAGTTTCTGATGGGGTTAAAATAACTCCCTGGCTGTGGGAAGCTAACCTCTGGGGCAGGGGGTTACAATATAGATGCATGCCCCTGTTTTGTGACTTGGGTACATCTTGCGTCCTTTATAACAGTGCTGAGTTGCACCCATGGGCTGTAGTGACCTCTAAAACAGCAGGCTCTCACAGGCCTCTTTTAGCCAGAGGAATCCATCCCCTGAGAGCACTTGGAGTAGTCCAGTGTTTCCCAACCAGTGTGCTGCGGCACAAAAGTGTGCCATCAGAAATGAACAGGTATGTAGCAGAATTTTGCCATGGCAATGAGCTATAATGAGCTACAGTAGGTATGAGGATGGGGAATGCCTTAACATGTGTGCCACGGAAAATTTTTATTAATGTAAGTGTGCCTTGGGCTGGAAAAGGTCGGGAAACACTGGAGTAGACGATGGTTTGTAAATGAAGCTAGGGAAGGCCTGGGGCAGCAGGGAGTGGGTGAGCTGTGGGCATAGAGCATGAGGTGTTTGGCACTGCTGGCAATGGGGCTGTGGGCAGTGGGAGTGACAGAGCTGGCAATGGTGGGGTGGTCTGGGACAGCATTCTGTATGAAAGGCCATTAATTTCCTTGTTCTGTCAGCCTGGCATGTTGCTAACAATAATTAATTGAGTGGATTTAACTTGGGCAGTGGGGAGGGCCTGTCGGTGTTTTATTGTGAAGGTACAAGAAGGCGGGGGACGTGCTTCTGGTTGTTTTCCTCAAGGATAAAGCACTCCTCCAAGCTCTGCAATGGCTGTGACCCCACAACAGCTCTGTGGAAGAAATGGCCCGTAAACTCCTTGGCTAGGGTTGCCAACCCTCCCCAATTGGCTGGGAGTCTACTGGAATCAGCACTGATTTCCCAGTGATTATTGACAGCAATCCAGGAGATTTTAATAGGATATTTTAAGAAAATGAAATGAATGACATGTCATGCTGGGAAAAAATAATCTCCCGGAACAGCTTCAGTCAGAGTTGGCAACCCTACCCTTGGCCCAGGCACTGACCTCCCGGCCTAGTGCTTGAAAGCATTTTCCCGCAGCTCAGACCTCCACAAAGCATCTGCTGCCACTCTGCAGTTTCTGAAACAGGCCAGTTCATCAGCTTTCTTATGAAAGACTCACCAAAAATGAACCATGTAGTTCCAGGCTAGCTTGGTACTAAACAAGCTGTTTAACTTGCAGCATGG